GCCTAGGTTATAAGAAGTGATCACAGTGACCAAAGAAGAAAAACAATGCCCAAAAGTTGGGCAGTAAGCTCTCCCTAAGAGAGACCAAAAACCAAGCTGTGACAAATGAGGAGGGGGCAGAGCAAAGGACAAGAGGCAGGGGAAGGAGAGCAAGAGACATAAATTTTCTGAGTTACCACCAAGCACCAGTCACTGTGCTTATACAATACAGCTAAGAAATACATGGAAAAATTATAGAGAAACAGAAAGTAGAATGGTGGCTGCCAAGGATTCAGAGCAGGGGTTATGAGGAGTTCTTGTTTAATGGGGACATAGTTCAGTTCTGTGAAATGAAAAGAATTCTGGAGAGGGATGATGGTGATGATTGCACAACCATGTGAATGTTTAATACTACTGGACTGTACATGTAAGAATAGTTAATATGGAATAATTTGCATTATGTGTATTTTACCACAATAAAAAACATTGAAGAAAAAGCCCTAACTGGTGTGGCTCAGTGGATGAAGCAGCAGCCTACAAACCAAAGGGTCAGCAGTTCAATTCCCAGTCAGGGCACATGCTTGGGTTGCTGACCAAGTCAGGTCCCAAGTAGGGGGCATGTGAGAGGCAACCACATATTGATATTTCTCTCCCTCTTTCTCCCTCCAGTCACCTGTCTAAAATAAATAATATTTTTTTAAAAGAAGAGAAAATACAAAAGACATCATTAAGCCATCATAATGAGTCTTGGGCCCTTTTAGTGCCTCCTATTCTTTTGCTTACTTCAGTTTATCTGTTTCTCTTAAGAAATGGGCTCTAATGAGGTAAAATTTATATCTGCTTTATTTCTAACGGCTCTACTGAAATACACAGATGTACACTAAAACCAAGTTCTGGGGAAAAAACCTATTTCTGGAAAATTAGGGTTACTCCATGTATGTTTTACTAAGTGTATTTACTAGTATACACTTCAATTTCGATGTGTATTTCAACTAAACTCTTACATGTATGTTTTAACCATACTTCCTTCTCTAATAGAAAGTAAGTCAGAAACATTTAAATTCATTTTTCCACTCTGAATAGTTTGTAACATCTTGAAAAGCACACAAACAAACATTAAGAGCATGTAAATTACTGTTTCTCATTAGGAGAAAATCTCCAGTTTTCACACATGATGAGGGAGAACACAGATGATGAGTTCCAATCAATCAGATCTTTTTTCATTTCCTGAAGCTTTCCCCCCAAAGGCCTTTTAAATCAGATACTAGAGGCAATCAGTGGCAAATACTAAAGGATGCTCCCTAATGAGAAGGTCTCCAATACTACAGCTGCTTCCCTAATGAAGAAGAAAGCGAGGTTTCTTCTTCTTCAATACTGAAGAGCAACCAATGGTACTTCACTAAGGCCCCCCCAAAAAACCACAAACAAACAAACCTGGGGTGTCTTAAATATGCTTTGGTTAAAAAGTAATGAGGGAGGATTAGAAAGAAAGAACAAAGAAGGATGCTAGGAACCATGGGGCCATCCTAGTTGGGCTCATCTTAGATGCAGTTAGGCAAGGTCAAAACTATCCTCCCTGGGGGTGACCTCAGTAGAATCACCCCTCTGTACCAAGTCTGGTTTAATATAATATTCTTGCTCATAGGTAAGTACAACAGACTACTTATAAAAATGGCTACAATTATTCTCCTCTCTCTGTCTATGGTCCTTGCAACAGCTATAGCTCCTCCTTTCAAGAGATGAATCTATTTCCCCACCTCTTAAATCAGGGGTGGCTCTGTGATTAGCTTTAACTAACAGGATTTAGAGGAAGTAAACTTGTGCCAGTTTCAAGCCTAAGCCTCAAGATCTTACATGCCTCCACTCTGTGTTAAAACCCTGCCAGTCATGGTGTGAACAAGCCTGGTTAAAGGCTAGAAACCATGTGGAGAGGAAATGAGTCCATCCTAGAAGAGCCACCCCCCAACCCTCCCAGGAGAAAACAAGCTCCCATCCAAAGAATTGTGCAGTTGAGTCCTGCCTAAATTGGCAACCCACAGAATCAAGAGCTAACAAAATGCTTGTTGTTTTAAACCACTACCCACACTAATATTGTGGTGGCTTGTTAAGCAGCAAAAAAGCTAACTGATATAGTAAGGAATAGATTCTTCATGAATTACCCATTCAGTGAACATATATTAAACATCTTCTGTATTTGAAGTAGTTCTCTCAGTAGTTACTAGGAGTACAAATATTAATACATGATAGTACCTGCAATTATGGAGTCACCTCATCAAACTACATAAAAGAAGTATGAATTAAAAGGTTTGAACAATAGAGAGGCTCACTCAAATTTGAGTTAATTTTTAAAGAAAAATATTAAGGCACCAGAGAACAAGAATGGACAATTTGTCCAAAAGAACAGATACAAGAAAGCACAGATGCAGGAAAGCACAGGTGCAGGAAAGAAAAGAATGTTCTAAAAGTGGAAAATAGTTTAGGACAGATGGAGAATGGGGAAAATGGCAGATGACAGAACAGGAAAAGCAACTTGAAGGCAAATAATAAAGGGTGTCACAGTATAAATCATGCTAAGAGATCTGAATGCTTCTTATAGGCTGTGGAGAGCTACAAATCATTTTTAAACAGGAAATGACATGATTACATCTATGTTTTAGGGCAAAACTGATAAGTGGGGAATTAGAAGGAGTTTAAGAATTAGGGGAGCCTGGCTGGTATGGCTTAGTGGATTGAGTGCTGGCCTGTGAACCAAAAGGTCACTGCTTCAATTCCCAGTCAAGGTACATGCCTGGGTTACGGGCCATGCCCTCAGTTGGGAATGTGTGAGAGGCAACCACACATTGATGTTTCTCTCCCTTTCTCCTCTGTCTAAAAATGAATAAAATCTTTTTTAAAAAGAATGAAGGGAATCATTCAAGCCATTTTGACTACAAAATGGAAACCCCAGCTACGACATAGCAAATATAAAAAGAAGATGTCTTTGAAAGATGTTTCAGAAATAGGAGAAAAACCCAGCAGCCTGGATAACCAACTAAATATGGACTCTGAGGGTGATAGATTGGGGCTGTGCCAAGATTTCAACTTTGGGATCCTCAATTAATGGCAAATATACATAAGGCAGGAAAGAAGAGCAGATTGTAGAGAAATGAGTGTTTTTCATAAAAGCACCATTCGAATATCTAGTGAAAGATATCTGGGAGGCAGAAAAAGACATAAGTCTGAATGTTATGTTCATGGACAGGTGGTAGGACCAGGACATAAATATCTGAGGAGACTTTAGGACAAGACAGAGGGACAGAAAGATAGCTCAAGAGATAAAAGTGAATGCGAACACAGGGAATTCAGGGAAAAGATGTACATGGAGAAGAGAAAAAGCTAACAAATGGCATAATCCCAAGGGATATTGAAATTTCAGAGGCAAAGGGAAAAAAAGCACCAAATGGCAGCAACCCTGCCTTGGAGATGGAAGAAAGAAGGGGAAGGATCATTCAGCAAGTATGGATTTTGTATTACAAAAAAGCAGATACCCATCCATTTTTCCACCTTCTTTCTTCTAGCCAAGTCATTACCAGGCTCTTCTCTAAGTCCCACTCTTAGAGAAGCCCTCAAGACAGTCAGTGTTGGGAGGAGACAGTAATAGGGGATACTTGAATAAGAGCATCTGTGTCCATGTATCTTATTGAAAAACATGTTTTTTCAAACTCCTCTGGCACCTGTTACAGCAAAGTATATTCCCAACATTCATACTTAGGGATCTAATTTGAAATACACTTATAGTTAATTTACTGCATCTTCCAAACAGATTGCCTGTATATGTTTTCAGTAACTAAAAAGTTTTTAAAGTTTTTTTAAGATTTTATTTATTTATCTTTAGAGGGGAAGGGAAGGAGAGAAGGAGTGAAATATCAATGTATGGTTGCCTCTCGTGAGTCCCTGCTGGGAACTGGCCTGCAACCCAGGCATGTGCCCTGACTGGGAATCAAACCGTGATTGTGTGGTTCGCAGGCCCATGCTCAATCCATTGAGCTACACCAGCCAGGAAAAAAAGTTTTTTTTTTAATACCCTGGCTGGTGTAGCTCAGTGGGTTCAGCACAAGCCTGTGAAGCAAAGGGTCATGGGTTCGATTCCTAATAAGGGCACATGCCTGGGTTGCAGGCCAGGTCCCCAGTGGAGAACACATGAGAGGCAACTACACACTGATTTTTCTCTCCGTTTCTTTCTCCTTCCCTTCCCTTCTCTCTAAAAATAAATAAAACCTTTAAAGTTTTTAAAAATAACCCCAAAGTAGGCAAAGATTTTATAAATCACAAAAAGCAATATCCATAAAAAGAAAATTGATTTCATTACAAATCATCAAAACATACCATGAAGACCATAAAAAGGCAAGTCAAAGTGAGGAAGTATCTGTAATACATATATTTGATCATATATTCATATTTACAAAATAAAAGAACTGACATTTAAAAAAAATAATCCAATTTGAAAATGGGCAAGATTTTAACAGGAATTTGACAAGATATACAAATGCCAGTAAGTTGATGAAATAGCATTTAACAATATTTCTTACAAGGAAACTAAAACTATAGGGACCACCTCACACCCATTAGGATGGCGACCATAAAAACAGAAAATAACAAGTGTTGACAAGGATGTGGGAAAACTGGAACTCTTTTACATTGTTGGGAATATAAAAGCTACACCACACCATGGTGTGGTAGCTTTGGAAAATAGTATGGTGGTTCTACAAAAAGTTAAAATAAAATTACCATATGACCCAGCAATTGCACTTCTGGGTATTGGAAAAAAATTGACAGCAGGGTCCTGAAAAAATATTTGTACACCCATGTTCATGGCAGCAATTATTCACAACAGAAAAAGGTGACAACAATCCAAGTGTTCACCAACTAACAGACAAATGTTTAAACAAAATGTGGTATACACATACAATGGAATATTAAAAAGGGAATTCTGACACATGCTCCAACATGGGTGAATATTAAGGACATTACACTAAGTGAAAAAAGCTGGTTACAAAAGAATAAATAGTCTGTGGTTCTACTCATGAGACACTTAAGCAGTCAAATTCATAGAGACATAAAGTAGAATGGTGATTCCCAGCGCCTGGGGAAAGAAAGAATGGGGATTCATTGTTTAATGGGTACAGTTTCAGTTTTCCAAGAGGTAAAAGGATGGATGGTGGTGACAGTTATACAACAATGTGAATGTATTTAATACCAGTAACTGTAGATTTTAAAAACTGGTTATGATGATAATTCCATTATTTTGTATATATTGCCACAATTACATTTTTTTAATTTAAAAATCCACAAGTAGATCCAATATGCAATCCCCAAAATTAATTAAAAACACTGACAGAACCATGTATTAGTGAAAATGTACAGCAACTGGAATCCTTGCACACTATTTGTGGAATTTAAGCTGGTATAACCAATTTGAAAAACTTTGGCAACATTTACTAAAGCTAAATATAAGCCTACTCTATGACCCTACAATTTGACTCATAGATATATGTTCAAGAGAAATGAGTGGACATGTGTACCAAAAAACTTAAGTAAGAATGTTCATAGCTGCTTCATTCATATTAGCCACACTTGAAACAATTCAAAGATCGAACAGGAGAATGGATAAACAAATTTTGGTATATCCATACAATGGAATTACTATTCAACAACAGACTAGAACAAACTACAAATATACACTACAATATGGATGACTTTCATAGACACTGTTATGTGAAAGACATATACACAGTCCCTTCTATTTACTACTTATATGAAGCTTAAAAGCAGACAAAACTAGGAAATGGCGTTTTTAGAAATCATAATGTGGTTACCTTCAGGTTGAAAGTGGGGTGAAAACTGACCAGAAAGGCAAAAGGAAGAAATCCCCAGGGGTGCTGGAAGTGCTGTGTATCTTGACCTGGGTGGTAATCACATGGGTGTACACACATGTAAAATACATCTTGATTAATGCATTTTATACTTTATTGTATGTATGTTATACCTAAAAATAAAATATCTCTAAAGTACTCAATGTCTCTACAATGAGAATGCTATAATTCAAAAAAGAAACAAAATCTCAAGTGTACTCTTTTCCTTTCTAACTTAGAAGATCAGACCTTATTCCTCTTAGATACATTGGGGGATGATTAACTACTTCCCAGTTTCCTGAGTCAAATAACAACTAAGTCCTACGCAGTGCAAACTTATATATTCCTAAATGTTCATGAGATTTCCTGAAGCCACTTCATATCCACAAGCTTTTTACAGCAACTTTTCAGTCTTTAGCTCAGTCTATATTCCAGAACTCCCAATTTGCTTTTAAACTGGTTGAGTGTGCAATTAGATACTTTCAAGATTCAAGAATGGTATGTGATTTTGTTTTACACCTTCATTGGCACGAGCTAACACAAATCCCTCTTCAGCTATAAAGGTGGAATGTCAAATATCACAAGCTATCGCTACATTTTGGCACTGTGATGAACACGCACCACCCCCCCACCCTGGCACCAAGGAAAGAGAAATTTTCATTGTCTTTAAAAGCCATTTTGATGCTTGACTCTTTTATAGCCAATGTAATAACTTTAACTTCCCTGTGAGAGCACCATGGCCCAACATTCTAAGGAAAACAATCCACAAAATTGAACATTTCCCCTCCTGCCTTCTTCTACCATTTAACAGTATACTACCCAGTTATCAAAAGGGGGCCTTAATATTATCATAGTAACTTTGCATGGTGACATTTATTCTGGTGATCACATCTAAAGAATGTAATTATTAATCACTATGTTGTACACCTGAAACTTATATAATATAGTATAGCAACCATACTTCAATAAAAAAAGAGAAAGGGCCTTAGTATGCAAAAATTTCATTTTAATGATAAAGGCAAATCCTTCTGAATTGTATTGTAATGAAAAACTTATTATTTCCCTTCATTTCAATTACTTTAGCCTTCATATGTTCCTCTATCCAACAAAGCTTTCATTTAGAATGGAAGGACAGATAAAGTGCTTCTCAGATAAGATCAAATTCAAGGAGTTCATCATCACCAAGCCCTTATTATATGAAATGTTAAAGGGACTTACCTAAAAACAAGAAGATAAAAAAGATGAACAGTGAAAGGACAGCAAACTGACAGTTATTAACAACCACACCTAAGACAAAAGCAAATTAAGAGGACAGCTAGATCAGGAGTGAACCATAGAAATGGAGATCACATGGAGGGTTAGCAACAGGGGAGTGGGAGAAGGGGGGAAAAGGTACAGAAAATAAGTAGCATAGACAGTAGATAGAAAATAGATAGGGGGAGGGCAAGAATAGTAGGGGAAATATAGAATCTAAAGAACTTGAGACACATGGTCATAAACTAAAGGGTGGAAATGGTGGGGGAGGAGGAGTACAGGGTGGAGGGGAATGAAGGAGGGAAATAGAACAACTGAAATGGCATAATTAAAAAAATATATTTTAAAAAATAAAATAAAAATATATTTCTAATTTCAAAAAAAAGAGAAAAACTTATTATTTGACCATGATTGTCTTTGACCCCCATACTGAAGCTATCATTAGTTCAGTCAAGTAGATAAGATTATGAAGGTACTTCTTTTTCTCTTTCAATTTAGAAAAAATTGATTTTATTATCAAATTGTAAGGGACAAATTTTATCAGTTCAATGGATCTTTTGAATAACAATCAAATCCCAGTGCTTTAGAGAGCAATGCAATATTTATCTTTGCCTTTTTCTCTTCTACTTCTTTTTGTTTTCTAATGCTATTTATTTGGAATAGCAAAGTTTTGTTAAACGTGGTAGTGATATACTGTAATGAGCTTTGCCTGTGAATTTCACTGACGTCATGAATTGATGTTATGGATTGATGTCTATAAGACAGATTTTGATTGGTACATTTAAGACTGGCAAGAAGTGTTGAAGCTATTCTTACTCACTTGACCAACCTACTTAGAGCAATATAACAGTTTTTAGGTTATTGACTAGACTTATAAATGCGCATGTTGGGCTTAGAAAAGCAACAAGGTAGGAGGAGAAAAGTGACAAGATGGTTAAAAACAGAAGGGCTGGATTAAAAGAATACCTAATATATAGGTATTTCAGTAATCTGATAAGTGAGATTTTAAGTCAACAGTGGGATACAATTTTTGTAAAAAGCATATACTGTCACGTTATCTCAACAGGGTGACTTTGTTAGTTAAACGGTTTCACAAATGAAATTATTCAGAACTGAAAGTTTTATTCAGCAAAAGTTTTTTTAAAGATTTTATTTATTTATCTTTAGAGGGAAGGGAAGGAGAGAGGGAGAGAAGTATCAATGTACAGTTGCCTCTTGTGTGCCCCTTGCTGGGAACTGGCCTGCAACCCAGGCATATGCCCTGACTGGGAATCAAACTGTGATCCTCTGGTTCCCAGGTCCGTGCTCAATTCACTGAGCTACACCAGCCAGGGGTCAGCAAAAGTGTTTTTGAAAACAAGTATCAAGCAACAACTGGTTAAAGACAAAGCCATCTGGTCACAATAGAAAAATGATCCTCTTTTAGAAGAGTAAAACATAATACAACAAGAATATACAGTACTTTTTATTTAAATACATTCTCTGAAATAGAATGCACCCATTTTCTCCTTGGAGAACACCTCAATGTTTCACTTCATAAAGTCTGTATTATAAATTTCAAGATATTGGAATGCAATAATTATAAAGATGGATAGGTAGCTTGTTTTACATACCTGTGGTTTTTCAGATTCTTGTGCTTGCTTACTTGTGTATATGTACTTATTTTTCAGAAACCACTTCTAGAAGATCACATTTTGACTTCTACACTGCCACCTGTAGACATAAAATGGAAATAAACCACGTCTTACTCACCAACCATGCATCTTTTCTAGATATCTAACAGGGATAATTGGGGGGGGGGGAATGGGAAAATATTTGCTCCAAGAAATAAAAGTGTTCTTTCTCCTGTGTGGAAAATTTGTAAGCAGTCCCTCTACCTCCAATGGCTTCATAAATTATTTAGAAATCAAAGCATTGATAAGTCTCAGATCAATACCACTCCAATCAGTTCATTAAAGTAAGAGATGGAGTTCACAGAACTCAAACCACATGCCAGCTTACAAAGATTTCAAGACCTGCCCGTGAAAATTAGAAGATAACTAGACCCCTTCGTTAATCGAGGAATCAAGAATTCTGTAAATTACTACAAATAGAGAGGGAGAGGCCCTGGCTGGTGTGGCTCAATGGATTAAGTGCTGCCTGAGAACCAAAGGGTCACCAGTTCAATTCCCAGTCAGGGGACATGCCTGGGTTGCAGGCCAAGTTCCCAGTAGAGGGTGTGAGAGATGCAACCACATTCAATGTTTCCCTTTTTTTCTCCTTTTCCTTCTCTCTAAAAAAATAAATAAATAAAATGTTTTTTAAAATAGAGAGGGAGAGACCTAGGAGAAGGTTACTGTATCACATGGTTGTAAAATGTCCATTTAAAATAATATTCTAACATGAACTAGAGCTTTGTCCAATGTAAACAGCATTTTCGCAGGGTAATTTTACACTTCCCTACTCCTAGTTTGAATGTAAGTGCTGAGGTCTTTCTGACACCCCAGATTTTAATACAGGTGGGTCTTTTTTCTTTAAAAAAATCAGTAAAAATTCATGAACTTAATAAGCAATGCATAAAGATCCATAAGCTACTATCAGCGAGTCAAAACAGCCATGAGATGAGGTACATGTGTGAAGAGATTGAGAGAGAAGAGAAAGATTGAGAGAGAAGAGAAAGATTGAAATGAGAGACTGAGAAAGAAGAACATGAGATTGAGAAATTGAGATGAGAGAGATATTGAAAGAGAGACGAGAAAGATTGAGATGAAAGAGAGTGAAACAAGAGATTGAGGGGGGAAGAGAGATCCGAGGTTAATTTAGAATAATACACCCAACCATGGTGTGTGTGTGATGAGTGTGTGGGTGAGCGAGAGGGAAAAGGATGAGAAAGATAGGGGGATGGAGGGAAAGAAAAAGCAAGAGATAAAAGAGAAAGGGAAACCACGCCACTGTGTGTGTGTGAGAGAGACACAGTCAGACAGAAAGAAACAGAAGAGACAAACACTAAGATTCTAGAGTTAATTGAGAACAACGGACTGCGCTGTGCAGCTTTTTACCTCCTCCGAATCCGACGGCCTGCCCGACAAGTGCCCCAGCTCCACACCTTAAGCCAGACACATGCACCACCACACACACTACCTCACCTTCACCCCACTACCACCTCCTAGGTGAGATAACGCCAAAAGTCACTCAGAGAGCATGCCCGCCAAGCCCGCTACCCCAAAATCCTGGCGGCCTTTTTACCAGAGATCCGTCCTTAACTTACCAGCAATTTATTTTAACTCCTGAGAGACTGGTTTGATTTAAGGAATTGCGGCAAATGTAAGAAAATCAAGTCTCCTTGAGCCACCCTCCTCCTTCTCCCTAGGGCGGACATACACACACACTCACACTTTCTTTTTTCCCAACCCGGTACACACGTTGAGCCATCCCAAGCGGCTTTTTTTGGGGGGGGTGCGGGGGATGGGGGCGGAAACCAGCGGCAATCCTCTTCCCACGTGTCTCCATTAAACCCTCTTCCAAACATGCACAAGGCACCAAGTGCATGTGCACAGTCAGTCTTTGGAGATAAGTTCAGCAAACCCATTCCACTCCCCCCCAACCCCCCACTCTGTCCCTGAAGGCGCAAGGGAGCGCTCGGATTCAGGTATTGGCCCCGGGAGACTATACTCCATTCCTGCCTTCCTTCCTGCTGGTCCTGCTACTACTATCTCTTCTCCAAAGGTTCCTACAATCCAGGGGGACCAGAGCTGGAGGCGTCTTGATGTTTGTTGGGTGTGGATTGCGAAGAGAGGGGGCAAACTGCATACACCACCGAGATTGCGGGCAGGGGGAAGAGTCGCAGTACTCTAAAGCCGCTCGGGTGCTCAGCACATAGGAAGGGGTTGGGCGGGACCTTGAAATCTGAGGGAGAGCATCCCAAAGGAGGTAGCTTTGCCGCACCTCTTACCTACCAAGGACGGCGAAGAAGCAAAAGCGTGCATATCGCGGAGGCACCAGCGTGCACACCAAGGCGTCTTGTACCTTCCTCCTCCTCCCAGACCTCCCAGCCCTCGTTCCCAAGCTCTGTAGCCAAGAAGGGAAGGCATCCGGCCCCCTGCAGCTAAGGAGGAGTGAGAGGTATGCGCTCTGGGATGCCCACCTGCGCACAGTGTCGCCTTTGCAGCCGGTGCCTGCGCTGGCTTGGCCGCTTTCGCTACAGCATAAAGTGCTGGTGGTCTGACCCCTGGACTCCACGCGTCTCCTCGGTCCCAGGCAGCCGTGGTCTTCGCTCTCCTTCCTCCCTGCGGGTGAGCTCCCCACCTACTCCGCAGGTTCTGCCTGGTCCCTCAGCCCGTCTGATCTTAAGTCGTCCTCTCCGCCCCTTTCCCGCCGCCCTGCGCAGTGCGCCGCCCCGCTCCCCGCCCATCCTTGCCCCAGCCCAGCGGGGCTTCGGGCCTAGAATCTAGTGCAGCAGATCTCTAGTTCCAGGAGGGGGGGCACAGAGGGTGGGGGTGGAACGAGGTCCACCCCTACCCGGAGCTCCTAACCTGCTCTACTCTACCCCCACCAGCAAGTGCTGCCTATACTCACCCAGAGGCCAAGGGTGTGGGTACCGCGTGCTCTGCCCTTGCACTTCCCGCCTCTCTTCATTCTCTGGAAAGCACCTTCCATGGCCCCAAAGGTGCCTTGTTTCTTGGGGAGAAGGTAGTAAAGCAGGGTGGAGAGAGGAGGCAAAAAAAATTAGCAAGTCAACTGCCAATGGATACAAGTTGCTGCCTGTGCTTTGTTTCTGTTACATTAAATACCTGAATGTGCTGCTTTCCTTGTTACAACTGCAGCAATATTCTGAGCCATGAATGTAAAATTTCCAAGCTAATTGGTTGTAAGAGCTTCTTAAAAATTTAATGTTGCAGAAAACAATAGACTCAACGCTTTTCAAAAAAGTTACTTTATATATATATGAGCACATTTCCGATTTTTAAAAATAGCAAAATATAAATAACAGAACACCTGTGTTTTACAAAAACAGATCCAGTGAGTTTGTGTTATTTAAACCCTCTGTAATTATATTAATTGGGTTTGTTTTAGAGTGTATTTTAGGTCTTTCTTAAGAGAACCGGCTCAGAATTTAGGGCTAGGAACCCGTAAGTTTTCATTTGGCTTTGGCCATAATTCTAAAATGTCAATTTCATGGAAATTATTAAATGTGGTTATATAGAAAAATGGATCCTGTTTTTCCCACGTTGATAGTAGCATTCTTATATTGGGGAAGGATAGATTTTTTAAAGCCAAGAAATAATAAAATTCTCATTCATTTTTCTAGTGATAGACTATCTTTTTTTTTTTGGTTTTTTACTTTTATTTTGATTGTGGTAGTGCATGCATAAGATTTAACCCTTTCACCATTTTTAAATGGACAACATAGCAGCATTAAGTCCATTCACAATGTCCTGCAGCCACTGTCTCTAGTGATAGAATATCTTATGTAAGCTTTTTTAGTGTTTTTCTCCTTGAGGCAAACTTCCTTTCTGTTTTCTCATTCTAAATATAAATAAAGTTATAGATGCCATGATTTTTTGAGATGGTTCTCTTAAAGAGATAAAAACATTAATTATAATTTATTAACACAACCTGAGGCTGGTGATACTAAATTTCACACTGATTAAACTTGTTTTTCAACTCTGCTGTTAGTAATTTAATCTATCTCCTAAGAAACAAAAGTTTTTAAGTTTCATTCTTGTAAGAATGAAATGTACACTTCTTAAATAACATTTTGAACCAGAATTAAATTCATCAAATTGGCTAATGAAAAGTATCTTCGTAGTGCATTTTTTGCTGAGTAAATTAGGACTATGTGGATGATAAACAGCATTCTGAAAAAGAGGCTCTGAAGCAAAGAAAACAATCTTTAGAAAAACTGATGATCCCCTTTTCAAGACAAGGATGACAAATAGCAGTAATTATGCAAAGAATGACTGCTGCCTCTCTTCTCTCTGCTTTTTGTGGCTGGGTCTGCATTTATCTCCTTCAATCAACATAATAAAAGTAAAGTAATTCAACATTCTGGTGATTTTGCTTAGTAAATCAGAAATTTCAGAATGTTTTTATTATCTAATTAATCCAAGTAAATGTTTCCCGTAAATGCAATTTTACTCTTCCATTTTTTGTGTGTGTGACTCTGGAGAAACACATTCATGAAACCAGCCAAGGTAAACTCAAGAACAATTGCCAGCCAGATTCATTCAGCACATATGTGTTGCAACCGAGTTGATATTAAGTGACCTTTGGGTCTTAAATTAAATATCAGATATTGGTTATTAATTGCTCATTGGCTGCTTCTTTAATGAGTCCTTATGTGTTTGCTTTGCCTCACTTATTTCCCAGAAGCGTATTTTATTCCTTTTTGTCTGCCTTATTGAATCTACCTTGGCCTGAACAATTTTCATTGTACTTCCACCAAAGAACCAAACCTCACTCTGTAGCTCACTTGACAATCATCTTTATCCTTCAAGTTAAGTCTCCCTTAAGGTCTTTGATAGGAATAAAACGCAATTAAACATCAAAATGATAACAAGTACTTCATGAATACTTTATCAAGCCTGGTTCTAAGAGATAACAACTAGATTTCTCAAAACCAGTAGGGTGTGTCCTATTTGAATAAAAAGAAGAAACAAAACCAGCAAATCCGTTTTTTAGGTCAAAACTAAGCCAACAAATCACAATTCAGATCC